TTTAGACGAAAAATAAGAATATTATACATTTTTGGAAAATGGGCGTAGCCACGCCCACTTATGGTCACATGTGTATAACTTGGTAGCCGCTACACCGATTTCTCCCAAAGCAGTGTTGGCCTTGGTACAACATACCAAATGGCTGAAAATTTTTAAAATCGGACAATAACCACGGCCACATCCCATATAACGGTAATTTAAAGAAATACGAAATCTTCGATAAATCAGTAAATACTAAAGCTACTTTATTCAAAATTGATGCTTGCAACAGTTTTTTACCAAGAACTATGTTTATGATAAAAGTTGGAAAATGGGCGTTACACCTGCCACTTATGATCACATATATGTATCTCGGTAAACGTTCTACCAATTTGTACCAAACTCTGTGTGGTTATTGTGTTTGCCCCATAAAAGCAAAACGTTGAAAATTATTGAAATCGGACTAAAATTACGGCCACTTTTCATATAACGGTACATTTCAGAAATGCTTGAGACTTCTATATTTCCAAATTTAAGGACGCCAATTTCCTCAAAATTGATACACCCCAGCTTACCATGTAGCGGTAGTTTTCGGAAAGGTCAAAAACATATATTTAATACTTGCGCCGAGTTTTTAATGTTCCGCCCGAACTTAGACTTTCTTACTGGTTTTAATTCACTTCATTTTATGATATGATTAATTCGAAATCTTTAACCCATATGTCATGTCGTGCATAGCTGATTTTAGCCCCAATATTTCAGCGTTTTTACGGCTAAAAAGTACTCCCATGCCTTGCTTCGATCAGGTTTTGCAGACTTTAATTATTAGGTATGGCTAATGTGACCAACCCTACTTCTTTCGGAAGTACAGTACAGTAGTTTTTGCTAAAAATGCTGGAAAGACTGATAGAGCTGTACATAAGAAACGCCATTCCTCGTGACTGTCTTTCATGAGCTCAATGTGCTTATTGCGAGAAAAGGTCGGTGAATACCGCCCTGCACACATGGGTAAAGTAGTCGGAGGAAGCCTTCACGCATGAAGATTATGCAGTAGGGGCCTTCTTCGATATCGAGGGGGGCCTTTAACGATGTCTCTCTAGAGGCAATAGTCAAGTATATTCCTAATCTGGGGGGTTGAAACTAACCTAGTAAGCTTACTTCGGGACAGAACTGTCGCGGCGGAGTGGGGGAGCGTCTGAACTCAGTGCAGAGTCAATAGGAGCACTCCACAAGGTGGGGTTCTCTCTCCCCTGCTCTCAAGTGCGGTTGGGATCGACCTTCTAGAGGAACTGGAAAAGTAGGCTGTCGAGTGATCACCTATCTAGATGATTTGGAACTTTTGGTTAAGGGACGATCAAAGGCAGGTGTCGTAGAAGCCTAACTTTAAGGAAAGGATAGCAAAGGTGTCGGTTGCCTTGTACTGCTGTAGAGGAGCTATCGGTAAAAGGTGGGGTCTCTCGCCCAAATTAATTCGTTAGCTCTAAGAAACCAGATTTAAGCCTATATTGTTTCAAGGAGCCCATGTTTGGTGGAACTCACTAGAGAAGGCTACACTTGTAAAACAGGAACTAGCGGAGCATTAGTTGAACAAGGCACCTGCGGATATGGCAGAGAATTGTCACAGCACGAACTGCTATTAGGATATGGGAAACCGGGTCCTTTTGTGACAAAAAAGAAGACATTTCTCTGCTGCAGCAAATGTTTTTATAGGGCACTTCAAAACACCTTACCTGGAAAGGGCTAGTGATGGGAGTTCTGGCAGGCCATTGTGCGATTGATATTCATGCGGTGATATTAGGAATTCCGCCTGACCCTTTGGTATCAGCTGTCAAGAGCAAGATGAAGTGGAATTATCTCTACACTTTCTTTTAGACTGTCCAACCTTTGCGAGGCTAAGATGGCAGCATTATGGCTCGCACTTCTGAACAAACACTGAGCTCTCAGAAATGGAAATTAGCCGTACTCGAAATTCCATAATCGGCTCGCGGCGTTAACTTAACCCATATTAACCTGTACTTCATTAAGCTATGAAATAGTTGGTCACATTAGGTATCAGTAGATAAGCTGAAAAAATCCTTAGCCATAGTCTTTAAAAAATAAACACCAGTAAGCGACCTTAAATAAATGGTCCAATCTAAGAAAAATCTTCAATCGGTGCTACAGAACAAAACTTTGGCAGCAATCTTCTTCTTCTTCTTTGGCACTGTAATCGCCTAAGCGATCTTGGCCGAGCTTAACAAAGATCGCCAGTCGTGGCAGCAATACAAAGATGAATTAAGGCAATACAAAAAATTAGTAAAGAAAGCTATAACGGACCCTTGAAATTCCTATTGCACATCCAAAGAGAACTGTAGGGATTTCGCCAGGCTAACCCAAGTTTTATCCAAGGAACATACCAACTCCAATCTTATTAAGGGAAAGGACGGTGCATATACAAGTTCAGCGGAGGAATCACTAGAGGCCCTCATAAATACACACTTTCCTGGCTGCGATCAGAGGCCAAAAATATGGCGTCATACAAAACGTCAGCAACTCCCAAAAGAGTTACTCGACTCAATCGTAGACAAAAAAGTAAAAACTATAAATCACCTGGCCCAGACGGTATCATGCCGATAATTCTCTAACTATTACTAGAGCCCTGTTATCCTGGCTGGAAAGGGTCTAAAAAGCCAGTATTAGCTTGACATACATTCCGAAAAGCTGGAAAAAGGGTCAAAGTTGTCTCCATTCCCTAACCAGGAAGAATAAATCACGAAAAAGCAAAACACTTCAGACCAATAAGTCTTACATCTGTCCTACTAAAGGAGGAGTTTTGTCTCCGCTATTATGAATGGTGGTACTGCGCGGCGTTCTACTGGATCTCAACAAAGGTGGAGTGGAAGTGGTAGCATATGCAGATGATGTAGTGGTGGCGGTATCAGATCTCTTCCCTCTAGGATTTCACCTGGGCTATAGAAAGTAGCCTGAACTGATGCTGTTTACCAAGAAAACAAAATTACCACAATTCCCTTAATGGAACGATCCTCACATTGTCCTCCGAGGCGGAATACTTCGGAGTCATATTAGACACCAAACTGAGCTGTAAGACAAATATAGAGAGGCGAATAGATAGAGCCTGCATAGCCTATTACACGTACTATAGAATTTTCAGTATAAACTGGGGACTAAAGCCAAAGATTGCCCTCTGGGTGTTAACGGCTACCATACGACCAATTCTTACTTACGGGGCGTTAGTTTGGTGGCTGGTACTGGTATACAAAGAGCAGCTTCTGCAGGTTCTACAGGAGCAATTAAGTCGTGTCCATCGTATGCGCTTAATGTGATCCTGCATCAACTGCCAATGAACCTCCATACCTCCAAACTGCTGCATCCTCAGCAATCAGACTCAATCAGGCTGCTGGAGGGCGCGGCAGCATGGTCATAGTGGCATTCTTGACAAGCTTATTGAATAAGGGAAACAATCAGATTATGTACCTCCTACGACAGACTTAAAGAAAAACCTCCAGGTGAAGTCTCCTTCTAGACAGGATTGGAGCAGGGCAGGATAGTCGAGGAGAATTCTTCTTAAGTCTCTACTGACGGGTCCAAAATGGACTGCGGTGTGGGAGCGGAGGTCTTCTCCGAAATGTTGTTTGTTTTGTTCCGACTACCGAACTTTGCTAGCGACGTTTCTACCAACCAACCAGGGGGTCTGCTAAGATATGTCGAAAATTTAAATTTAGAAACAAAAAAAAAAACAATATGACCGAATAAAAATATTCCGAAAAGCAATAATATGTGTACAATTCGCGCGAATTTCACACATCAGTCATTACACAATTTCTAAAGGCTAATTAAATTCAAATATGTATTGCATACTTATGTATGTATGTATATTAGGATGGTCAAAAACAAATGCTAATCCCTCATCCTCTAAGATTTTTCTAAATGGAAAAGAGGAAACCGGCATTTTTTGTAAAAAAAATGATATTTACAAACTTTCCGTCTATTTAATAAGGGGGTGTTGAGGGATCTTTAAAAAATTATTAGTTTTAAAATTTGGTGAAATATACAATTAAGTATTGTTACTGGAATTCTCCCAAAGAGAAACAGTTTTCGGATCGAAAAATATTGATATTGAAGAATTCTATACAATTTCTATGAAAAAGTGTTTTTTAATATAAAATACATGGACAACTTCGTAGTCTTTGACAGTTCCGAACACAATTTTTTATAAACAAAAACGGATCTTTTTTTTTCGTTTAGAAAAGTGCAAGGGGTGAGAACATAATTATTTTAAACTATTTTTGGACCACGCTAATGTACATACATATTGTTGTTTTGAATTCTATTCTACAAAACCACCTGTAATTAAAGAATCCGCGATAGTTTTGGTTAACAATTGGCCAAATGGAGAGCAATGATCCAACAACCCAAAATACAATGGAAGCGTAGTACGGAAGATTGCATATAATAATTGAAGTGTTTAAATTAATAAGTTATTTAAGGAACGTATATATAATTGTTCAAAATAAATTTAATTTAATTATAACCGAAGGTGCCACTTAACCTAAATCACTTTACCAGAAGAATTTATAGAAATTAGAAATTAGCAAATTCCACTTCCCTATGTTAGTTTCTGTATTGATTATTGTTAATAACATTTGTACATCCTTATAAGTACTGATCTATGTATGTATGTATGGTGAAAAGTGTCTTGGAAATATGTGTCATACATTTGTTTTGCAAATTAATTAATGGTTTTTCATCTGTACGAATAATTATATACAAACTGAAAAGTGGCTGAAATATAAATGTTAATTTGATACCATCGTAATTAGCAACAAAATCAATAAAAAAAAATATTTAATTTAAAGTCCCATTGTTTTACTTAAGAAATGTCAATTCCCCATTTATCGATCTTTGTTATCTTTTCGACATTTCTTATTTCGATCAGTCAGGCTTTTTACTTTTCATCATTTTAGGTTTCGAAATTGTTTTACGACATGCCGTAAGGATCCCTAAACTAAGTTGTAAAGCAGTTTTTGTTTTTCGGCAATGTAATTTTTCGACGAAATTAAGCATAGAATCAAAATGTTCGATCGATTACGCCAAGCCACATATTCATACATACATATATACGAACTTTGACACGTTTTAACTCAAACCGATTGTATTAATGGTATATGACTGATTTTTTTATGAAAATTCACAAATCTTAGGAAAGGGGTGTGACCATACAAAAATTTACCTTAAAATCGTTCCATATAGTTAACCGTCACTCTAATGCACATATATGTACATGAATATATGTGCATATGGATGTATGTATACGACAGCACTTTGCATTCCTCCGGATGAGTTGCATTTTCCCGGCTTGGATTTTGCTGTCTAACTAACGGCTTATTGGTTTTTATATTCCCAGAACCCAGGACTCTTCTTTACAGGAAAATATTTTAATTGTGTCACGTAAGTTGTGTGTTGCAGCGACTGATGCAAATGCGTGGCAATCAACGCGATCCCGGCGAAGTAGCTGCACACTTTCCATCCAAGTTGACGATTACTTAAAAAGCACGCGAGAGAAATACAAAGTGGACATGGTGCAAAAAGTGCGAAACAAAATTAAAATTGCTCTACTTAGCTACTATGACCCCAGGGTGCAGGCCAGAGAGAATTAAAATGAATTTGCAGTTACTTCACGCATATTAGGGTGTTACAATCGGAGAGTATTTCCGTTTCATTCACAATCTGAAAATTAAACTGATAATTAAAGTTTTTTTAAATTTTATAGATTTTTGGCTCTGGCTTCTGAACCAGTATGGAAAGGAAAAATAAGACTATACAAATTTACAAAATTCCGTAGGTGGCCCGCTCTGGCGAAAAAATAAATGCTAACTTTAAACGTTTACACATCACACAAGGTTGGCGAAAATCCTCCAAGCGGGTGCTGACTGGGCAAAATTACCATCGCTGCTTACACCGCTTTTCTATGCCAGAGTGGTGCAAGCAGGCGATGCTTATCAGGGGCTTGTTTAGTGGCAGGCCGTAACGGCTCACCCAATGGAGGCTATTTCTAGGGGGTAACCGGCGGTAGGTATAAAACGATAAGGGTACAGTCCCTGAAATTAATTCTGAATGAAGGTCGAAGAAGCAGAAACGCGGGCTGGGATATCAGCCCAAACGTTCGGGCACAGCTATAATTTAAGCTGTGTCGTCAGCGACTACACTTTTACTGAGGAGGCAGCAGTCTACAGTGGTTGTAGTACTACTGCAAGACGGGGCTTGCCACGAACTAGTACCCTAGTCCTAGAAGACTGAGGCCAGGAAATCGCAGTAAGCCTAAGCACGAACGGATAAGAGGCTTTTTTGCGCTCTCCGGCCAAATCGGAGGATGCTCTTCTGAACACTGGAAGAGACCGAGGACGAGGTCAAGCAAGGAGGGGTTGAAGACTAAGGCGCGATATATGGCTCCGGTAAAGATCTGGGACCGACTTAGCGATAAGACCAACCGGACTGAGGAGGAGGAGAAAAGGTTGGCTGGGCTAGGGAGAAAGTATAGAAGGGCTGAGCTTACTACGCTGCGAAGCCACAATTCTCAGTTAAGCATCCGAAGTTCGCAAACCGGTTCGAAGAGCAATTGTGGCGGTGCAGGCGAGCAAAAGGCCGGATTATGGAAAGGAGCAGAAATTATAATTTGTTAGATGATCCATCACTAGCATGGATAATGGGAGCGTAAAGACCTTCAAGGCCTATGGGGGGGCATCCCTCGAGATAGTAGATCGCAGCAGTTTCCGTCGATCCAAAAGGCGAAGGTCTACATCCCTCGCGAGGTGAAACGGAGCTGCGCTGCACCTACTGCAAAACCAGACCCCGACGTACCTACGGCTGATTGGTATGTGTTGAGCGTGGCCAAGTCATTATCAAATGAGGGTAACCAGCCTACATTCTTCAGATAATAACACGGCCGAGAATCCTATATGCTCGATTTGGCAAGATGGCTTGGGGGTATTTAGCATTTACCTTCGCCAAAAAGCGAAACCATGCCGACAACAACCACAACACGTTTAAGGCTGGGGAAGTGGAGCAGGATCTCGCATCGAAGAGATCCTCCAGTACTCTCTCGACCTACGGAATGTGGAGCGGGTGAGCTGGACACGATCCAAATAATCTCCTTAAAGTAAAATCGCCTATCGAGCTTCTCCTCAACTTTGAGGGGCCGGCTATAATGCGCCTTTAGTCCAGGAACCTTGGCTCGCTTCTGGCAGCCTAGTTTCTGGCCCCAAGTCGGAAACGGAGCGGCGTCCAGGAACGTTCTTAGTGATACGAAGGTGAATAACTGGAGAGGTGCATGTAGGCACCGTCGTTCTCTGATCGCAAATATATAAGCTTCGACATTTTGATCTCTCCCAAAAGAAATAGTAGGGTCCTTAGGAATCCTAATTGGGAACGCTATAGGAAATACTGGACGATAAGAAGGCTAAGCGGCGCAGATCCACACAAAGGTCTTTCGCGCACTAAGCGTAGATCTAAACCTTCAACTGTATCTATGTAAAAGAACCTCGATGTGAAAGATGTAGCAAGTCAGTGAAAATTATAATGGGGCTTCAAACCAAAGCTTGGTACTCGGTAACTCGATGTTCGGTAATTTTCTGTTTTGTGTAACACTATTTTACACAAACAAAATACATTAGAAAAAATTACCGGACACCGAGTTAACGCATACCTAGCTTGGTGTAAAGACCCATATACACACATAAGAAAAATTAAGCTGTAAGGAATGGTCAATAATTCCAAAAAATTATGAAGCAATGACTTTGGGGCAAGCATTTTTCGTTAAACAATATTTTGGACTAAGTAGTATACGAATTCGAAAGTTTAAGAGAACAGAAACTGGCGCAATTAAGTGGTCTTCCATCGCTCTAGTTCTAAAGTATTCCTAGGTTTCCTGTTAAATTCTTAACCAACACAATCTTTTGATGACAATAGCTTTTCAGTAAGGAGAGCTATTTTTTGTGTTGCGAAAGAACAGTCTTGGCCTTTTTCTTTTACCCTTTTCATCATCAAAATTTTAACAATGCCAAGGGAAACTATATGCACATATTTAGTCAATGAAAATGTTTTAACTATATGTATTTATTAAAAGCTCTTCAATTTTAAGGAAATCATTTGTTTTGAGATGATTGGTATAATTTTTAGCTCGAAATTGTTCGTCAGTGCTTAAGAAGAGATGTGAGGCTTGAAAATTATTCTATTTTTATCACTTTCACCAGAAAAATCAGCTCGTTTTTTTAAGCATCTTTACCATTTATTAACAATATAACAACCAAATAACAGCACAATAATTTAGCAAAAAATAACTAATAGACGTTTAAATACATGCAGTATTATCAATATAAAAGTTCATAAGTTTAAAACAAAATAAAAGTATTACGTATGTGTGTACAGCTGTGTTCACAAAAAGAGCAGTAAAATGTATTGACAAATTTTGAAAATTTTTTTTCCTTACTTAATTTAATTTTTTTTTTATAAAAATATAGTTAATTCTCAAACAAACCATTGTGTAGCTGAAAGCCGGAAACGAGCCAAAGCTTGTTGTGGAGTTGTACTCTCAAGCAGTTATTTTGCGAAACGCTATGAAACGAAATAATTTTAAGGTGAAAGCTTTTGAAAAATGGTTTAAATTTAATTAACGCTACATTTACACGTTCAATAAATTGTTTCATTCTGCTCACAAGTACGAGTTGTCAAAACCCATTTTTTTGAACATGTTAACCACAAGTAAATTATTTGTATACCAATTCTCAAAAATATTAATTAAATATAAAACTCAGAAAATCAGTAGATTTTGCGTACTGATTTCGGGTTTTTTAAAATCAGTACAATAAAAAAAATCAGCAGATGTGTTGATTAAATCAGCGCATCTGGCCACCCTACCCTCACACCGCAACATTTAACTCAACTGAAGTATTCGGAGTGACCTTTTACTTTAAGCATACTTATGTATATGTATGAAGGTGCCGGTGAATCACAACAACATGCTCTTATTCGGACTTAAAAATTTTCAGATTTATAGTTAACACCAAGGCCAAATACACGTAAATACATACCCTGCAAACAAAAGCTCCCGAAATCTTTAAGAGTATCGGAAGTTTGTTCCGATTTTTTTACGAATATTTAAAGAAAAACATATGTATGTAGAAAGCAGTTGGCACGAACTAGGAAAGAAATATCTTTAGATTTCTCAAAGAACATTCTAACAATTAAGGAAGTCTAAGTTCGGGCGGAGCCGAAAATTAAATACCCGGAGCAAGTATTAAATATAAATAGTAGGACAATATTGTTTTCTTCCTACACTGTGCAGTTGAAGACATGCCATTTGGTTAAATTGTTGCTCAAAGCTTCGCCGCAAAGGTTAATTTATAGTAAAGCAAATTGCCTTTTTGCTTTTGTTGCATAGCTCTTAAATGTATGATTGCTATTGTTGATACTAAAAAAAAAAAAAATCTGTTGCACAGAACATGACATTTGGGTAAAAGATCTCGAATTAATCATATCGCAAAATGAAGTGAATTAAAACCAGTTAGAAAGTCTAAGTTAGGGCGGAGCCAAACACTAAAACTCGGCGCAAGTATTAAATATATGTTTTTCACCTTTACGAAAACTACCGCTACGTGGTAAGCCGGGGTGGGTTAACCCCTACTTTAAACAACTTCGACAGAACGTTCAGTTAGACATAATGAGATAAACTTATCTAGTCATATGTGGGCGGTATCACGCCCATTTTCCAAAATTTTAAATAATGTTACTTCTTTTGTTAGTATCAATTTTGAGTAAATTAGTGTCCTTAAATTTCTGAAATTTACCGTTATATGAAAAGTGACCATAATTTTATTTGCGTGAATAATCTTCAGTAGTTATATGGGGGGTAGGCGTGGTTATTGTCCGATTTCTCCCATTTTCAATACCATCCATCCCATGCCCGCTAGAAGTTCACGTACCAAGTTTCATTAAGATATCTCAATTTTTACTCGAGTTATCGTGTGCACAGACGGACGGACGGACGGACAGACAGTATCCGCTTAATCGATTTCTCTTTTCATTCTATATCTATCTATCTCGATTCGTTTTGCCTGTTACAAGCCCATACGGGCAAATGTGCCCATGTCTGTTATGCAAGATTGCGCATTTCGAAGGTCCGTTATTCCCATTTCAGTACGCGTAAAAAGCAATGAAAAAGTGAAGAGGGGAGAATAAGAAAGTTTTCAACCAGCGGCGTCGTGCGACAATTTCACGCTTTGCATGGCCTACTTACCTTTTGGTAAACCGAAATTTTCAAGTTCCAAAAAATTTAATGACAGTTTTGTAAAGGAAAAGTTTGTTATATTCATGACGAACAAGGAATTGTAGAAAAAGTATCTTAAAATATATAATACAAATACTGTTTAAAAAAAGTATTTAAAATGCGGATAAAAAATATTTTATTGAAAAAGTATTAAAATATAAAGTCCAAATACGTCTATCGTATTTGTATATTAAGTACATGTATTTGAAATATTTAAAATCTCTGGATCTCTGGATGTAACTTGGGAAAAGGTTTGGCGCCTTTAAAGTGGTCTTAAGTGCATCTGCTACAATGCGCTTCATGATAATTTTTTCCATTTTGTATATGCATAACCAGAAGACAATTGAGGTAGGTTATCTTAAGTGGAGCCATTCTATAAAATATACCCAATAAAGGCTCAAGAAATGCTTCCCTTCATGGCTCCTGGAAAGTGGTCTCCTATTTACAATTTACGCGAATGTACTTAAGTATATATTTATTTTATTCGCATTAAAAATCAAATTCAAAAAGGATTTTGAGACTCAATGAAACATATTTGATAGCTTAAATAAATGAATTCATTAAAGAAGTATAATTCTTATGAATTAAAAAACCCCTTTAAAAAACTTCTCCCAAAAGGCCTTCTGAAGTTCGTCCCACAAAAGCCTGCCTGGAAGCTCTGCTTTGGGTAGTGAGAGCAGAAGCCCTCCAATTTATGCCACTACATACAAAAAAGAAAGGAATGACTTTCACACCTCGTTCGGCAGTGTCATTTACAACGGCAGTGGGTCCAACCTTCTTAATATTCGAAAGTAATTTCCCAAGTCGATGGGTCAGACTGCAAAAATGCCGGCGACAAACCAAACTTCGTGAAACAAAATCGCGTAAATTATAATCTTGAAAGTGCACTAAAGTGGAAGTATTTCGGCTATTAATAAATTTTGCAACTGGATCGTGGGATTTCAGCCGCTCAACCACTTTACGTTTTTCCCCGACGGATATATTCTTAACAAAACTTAAATCTTGCGAAGGGGGAGTTATGGCATTGGTAAATTTAAACTAGGAAACCAGGAAAGTACGTACTGATTGCGAAAAATGAATATTTTCAAAGAATAAATCACTTTTGACATCCATCGGGCATTACTGGTAGCAGCAGGTGTGCGAAAGCGAAAGCGTTCTTCTCCCACGAATGTCAAAGTCAATTGAACGAATTCTTTATAATCATCCCTGATTTGAAATTTGGACAGATGATCACAGTAAAAATTTTTGTATGTTTTCGCATTCTGCTGCATTTATAACTGAGCAAACGATAACCTCTTCGATGCCACTTTTAATCAAGCGATGGTTAAGTTTCGGCCAAGTCTTCGCGAAACGTTGAAAATTTGAATCTAGTTTCGATTCAGAAACAGCACGCGAAATAATTTCATATATGTGGTGATCACAAGGCAACCTCATTAATTTGCGACCAATTTTTTCCAACAGAACTGCAGCTCCCGCTTTAGTGCCTGTATTACTCACAGTTGTATCAAAGGACATACCTTGAACTTGGTTCACAAGATTACACCACTGATTTTTTTTCATAAACAATATTTATTACCGATATTTTCACTAGCTGAGGGGCTATTTTTGGTGCGCAGAGAAATTTGATAGTGCCGTTGTAACTCACAAAAACTGCGATACGATAAACTTTTTTTTTCAATAAAATCTGGCAAAATTATCCCATCCCAATGAATTATAAACGATCCAATTGCGTTTAACTGTAAATTTCGGATGAAAAAAATCTAAATAAACCTGAAATTTAATTAAATTATCGGAAAATGTATTGAAAATATCCTTTGATTCTTTCGCACGATTTTCTCGTCGAGCGCGTTGAATACTAGTACTCGCTATAAGTATATGTAGGTACTGCCATTACATCACTTACTTTATCAAGCGCTGCAGCTAACCGTGGCGTCATAACATTTCTTCGACCCAGTTTTGTAGGTGGCTTTGAAAAATCTATGTAAAGTCATATCAACACATGCCATGCAACCTGGACGTCCTTTTTTTCTCTGCTTCTCCAAAAATAATTTATCTTCCGCTATTTTGATTCTTTCTAATGGATTTGTGCAGCAATGTCAAATAAACTTACAACGAGGTGTTTGAAAATCGATTTTTAGCTTTCGAACATTTAGCTGAGACGATTTTGCGAATATTTTTCCAGATGCCGTACAATTTCATTAATTTTTCTACACATTTGTGGTCCTCGCGAATTGGTATTCGTGCTTGTTGCTAAAATATTTTAGCTGCATCTGTTGCTAGAGTATTGGAACTTGGCATGGAGATATGCGAAATAAATCCTACACTCACTAAAAAATTGGGTTATAGGAAAGCGGTATCGCTTTTGCTAAAGTAATGGAATTTGATACCGTTGAATATATTATGAATTCCTTATGGCGCAAAGTGGTAGGTATTATAAAAGCGGGCATGGCACAAAATGAGTTTTTATACTGCATGTCTCTGTATTAGCGCACACAAGGGGTGGGTTTTGGGGTAATTTTTAAACAAAAAACACAACCGACTTCAATTCTCATATACAAATTTAGGACTACCGTTAATTGTTTCATGATCCAATGATCGGATCTAAACCAAATTACGGGACGACCCTTAAGGTACCTTCTTTCCGACAAAAAAAATTATTGAAATGGGTTCACGCTGCCCAAAGTTATGCGGTGGCATACATAAAAGGAAAAAAATATACTCCGAATAATTTTTTTTTATTACATATGTACATAACACTTGCATTATTTAAAAAAACGTATTATCTGAAGCAGTATTTTCTGATAATATATGTATATTTAGAAGTTTAAAACGCCCCCCAAAATATATTCCTGGGTGCACCCCTGTGTCTCTAGATGTATTCATGGTAGAGTACTAAACCTTGGTATGGAGATATATGAAATCCATCCGATACTCATGGAGAAAAGTGGGGCTATTGGAAAAGGGGCGTGGCGCCTTCAAAACACACTAAAACGTTTACTTATATTTATATATGTAATTTTTCTGTACGTGTGTTTGTGGGTGAACCCTTCCTAAACGGCTGGACCTTTGTTATTTAATTTGAGTGTGTGTGTGTGTTGGGGTAGGTTCTCAGATGGTTTAGATTCAGTCGAGTTATTACTATAAATGTTTATAATCCGATCTAGCTCATACTCGAGATATGTATTGGTAACGGTTAAGGAAATATAAAATTCACCATCGAACCGAATCATTACTGCCGCCAGGGAGAGGATAGGAGAAACTTCTTCAAATGTATTTCGCAGGGCTGCAAACCGGTTTTTGAGCGGAACCGTCGCTTTTTTCTGGCTTTGAACCAAACCACGAACCGAACAGTTTTTATTTTGAAATGCCAAAACCGAACCGAAAACCACTCCAAAAAATGGTTCCGTTCGGTTCGGTTCAAAATGAAAGTCCAGTAAAGCATATTTCAAGTTTTGTAATACACAGCTATGTATAAAAATGCAACCCGTATAGTAAAACTGCAAAAATGTGTTTGTTTGATGGCAACTCCGTGAGTTATAATTTCGTCCTGTAAATAATGCTTGATATTTTTTTTTATATAGAAGAAAATGTTTAACATTTGCCAGTTAAATACAAAATTTCTAACTCTCGGATTTTTTTAGTTTGGATTAAAAAATTTGAATCTTTGATGCAATCTCTGATGAAATTTGTAGATTTTTTATAATCTTCGTACAAAGTTTGAAGTTTCAATTTATATGCTTGTTGTTATATATATATTAAATCAACAAAAGAAAAATAGTAAAATGCAGCACTGAAATTATATGACCGTAGGTGTACGTGTACATATGAAGTTAAGGCCAAGTGTAGGCTCCCGGATGGTTTATACCATCTTATTTTACTTTATTTTATTTTAAATTATAACTATTTGACGTAGCCTTAAGTATATACATATGTAAGACTGCATTTTTAATATCATCCTAGTAACGTTTTTGTAAATGTATTAACAACCTGAGTTCCGCTCATGGGCGTAGCCAGGTAGGGTCAGGGGGGTGCTCGAGCCCCCCTAACTTTCAAATTTTCTTTATATATAT